TTCATTTCAAATGCCCCAATTCACCAAAGATAACTATGAAAATTGGTGTATCTTGGAAGCACAACATAGCGCATCCTTGTCTCAAGCCAAAAAAAATATTTTACAAGTCATGAAAAGGACTACAAAGTTTCATGACCATCCATTTATGTTTTTTTGGGTAAGTAATTCATCCTTCTATGTTTGGATGATAGAATGCTACAAAGAGTTACTAATGTAAATTAACTATGAGAAAATTTTCATATTCCTACCAAGCTAATAGAGGCATTTTGGTCCTTGCAAAAGGTTTCCTTTTGGGATCATTTCGTCCGATTAATGGATAATTCCAAACGGTCACATGATAACACCCACCCCACCCCACCTCAAACTGGCCCCTGAACTATATTTAATTGTTCAAAAGTGATGTTAGTGTTATAATTGTAAGATTTTTTAATGTAAATTGTTTCATCCGTCGTCAACAAATGCCTCTGACTAAATAGGTGTGATCACTGGTTGGTTGTGGGATAAAAAGATGTAATTCAAAACCAACAGACATAACATATTCAATGTCAACCATTGCAACCTATTACAGTGAGTGTGTCTAGTGATGAATAGACACATATAAATGGCTTTGTCAAGTGATAAAGAGACACATATAAATGGTTGTGTCCGATGATGAAGAGACACGTATACATGCTTGTGTCCAATGATGAATAGACACGCCCAATTCGAAAAGACACTTCTATTTCTATAAATACCCCCTTGAGCTGTCATTTGCAATTGGTTCAATTCATTTTCTTCTCTCTCCCTCTCTAGGCTTGAACCCGACCCAAGTGGGTTCAAACCATATGTTAAGTGGTACGAGCTACTTAAACCCTAATCCAATTTCATCGAGTCATATTAAGATTGGTCTAAACCATTTGGTTCGGATTGTACCCAATTTAACATTTATATAATATAGATGCATTTTTGAAGCAGAGAGAGTATTACTGGTGTTCGCCATATTCACGAGTTTGTAGTGTTGTTACTGGTGGATATAGATTGTTGTATCCTGGGAGACAAGCGCCACAGAATCCGTCAGCACCATACGGGGCGTAAATTATCTTAAGGACATAGTATCCAATACTAACCTCGATCTAGGTTCTTTATTCATTATTATTATTTTATTGCTTTAATTTGCATGTTTAATTAAATATCGAGTTGAATATTTAATTAATTATTTTTTAATATATTATTAATTATTTCATAACATATTAGTATAAGGTTAATTATATATTAAATGTCATTTAAAGCATATATTTACCAACAATAATAACTAAAATGCCTTTAATATAAAATTAAGAAAATGGTGCACCTTAATATGAAATTAAAATTAAAATAAATTACTCAGGCATCATCTAATTCAGTAACATAATTCAACACACCCTTAACTCATAAAATGGGGTGAAACGAAATAGGTCAAAACGGGAACTGAAGTCTGAAACAATAACGTACCTTTCACCACTAGCAATCTAGGTCTTCTGCCCACTGGCTACCACCCCTCATAGGATCCTTCCTCACGTAACCCAACTGGCCATAATCAAAACATATCCCTGAAATCATCTTCATCAGTAGCTCACTTTCTTGGATCCCTAAACCATAGGTGCAACTCATAGGTCTCAAATACACTCAAAATCCAATTCCGAACCATAGCATCATAAATAATAATAAAAATACAAATCATATGACGATAACATCTCCGCTACCGCCAACAAACCCTCTGAAAGAAACTCACACACCTTCAACTTCACCTGTGAACAACTAGGCACCACAATAATCATGTATTTCCTGTATAACACGATCTTACAACATCCAGTCAACCCTAGTCATAAAACGAGTCCTACGGGTCCAATCCTTAGTTGCACCAATCAATCCAACTCTCTGTGAATCAACCATTAATAACATACTTCCATTAGTTGCCAATAATGAGAAATCATTCCTCAAATCTACCTCGGAAGCTAACCTTTACAAAGGATCAAAAGGGCTGTTAGATTACAAATTTACCTTTTTACCTGTCATATAGGTTTTTTACATATTACAAATTACCATATATGAGTACGCCTGCCATATTAATATCTATAGGTTACTAGTTCATCACTCACCTATCCCCAAACTTTCTCCTATATATGGAACCTTTATATAATTTCTTACATATCAATATAATATAGAGTTCTATACTCTCTCTATACTTTTAACAAATTTATTGAACGAAAACAAAATATGTATTTGTTTTAGGCTCCGTTAGGTAAAATATTTTTTTTATTTGTACTTTTCGGTATTTGACAAAGATCTAGGTTGAGGTCGAATCCTTCGAACATGACGTATAAAATAACTTATCAAAAATTGATGGATAAATTATTTTTGTAAAATTTTAATATATTTTTCCTTCGTAAATATTTTACGATAACCAAACACTAAAAAATAAAAAAATATTTTCTAAAAAATATTTTACATCTAAACAAATGGAGCCTTAGTGTGTGATGAATAAGGATTGAAAGGGAGTGAATATATAATGAAAAGAAGTTTTATTTTGTATTTTTTTTATTTCTTTTAAATTTTTTTTTGGTAGAAGGCAATAAAGAGTGAATATCCTGCAGCATTTCACCGGGGTGTATGACAAATATTGATTACCACGAGAAAGTCTATTGTCAGTGATGTTTTTATTTATTTATTTTTTATGTAACTACCCAGAGTGTTGTAGACTTTACACAGAGCTAGATAGATCAAGCAACGCATACCAGAAACTTGATCCTCATTCAGGGACGGATTCAGCATTTTTGAATTGGGTGTGCTAATTTTGAATTGGGCTAATTTGGGGTGGGCTACCATTACTGGGTGGGCTACTATTACTAGGTGGGCTTTGTCTATCTCTGGATTTGCCTTTGTTCATAGTTAGGGATGACAATGGGACGGAGCGAGTTTTGTAGTGTACTTTCGTAATTGTAATATGCATTTAACGAAAGTAAATAATAAAACAAATTTTCAACTATGATAATTTTTTATTTTTTATTTTTTATTTTTTTTTTTTCAAATAAAAACAAGATTCAATTTCTCAATTGAAACTTAAGACTAAAATTATTATTGAAACATCAAAATAATACATACAAGTTCTCAAATAAAAATAATACAAAAGAATAAGTAGTGATTGAAATAGAATAAATTAGAATTTATTTAATATATACTTAATATTATTGAATATAAAATAAATTATAAGAACAAAATTATAATTTACCGCTGTAAACGAAATGAAGAGATAAGACGGGACAGGTAACCTTTTCTCATCTTGTTCCACAACCATGTAAATTTTCAATCCTTAACTCTATTCTCATTACAAAATCATTTAACTATCCGTTCAAAACCGAACTGGATCAGATACTTTGCCATCCCTACCCGCGTCAAGACAATGCAAAAGATCTTGGTTGAAAAGTGGCTTGCAAGGGTAAAAGGAAATTTTGGTCTTTTCAACTTTGGAGTGTTAGTGCCTTTAACCACGTGGTTCCACAATAACGCCCAAATATCTTATTGCACCAATAAGCTTGGACAAGTATCAGGCACATCCTCAAACAATTCTCTAAATTTAGTAAATTTGCTGCACACAACTTGAAAATTTTAAACTCATCTAAGTCTCCTCTCTCTGTAGAGGTTTCTCCTTTCTCTGTGGGCGTTTCTCTGCGCGTGCAGAGTGTTCTCGAATCTTGTCGCACAGCCATGGATAGCAAATGGATCTGCTTACGGATCTGTTCCTATCTATGGTCTCTTCTGATTTGGGTTGGGGCTTTCCTGTTCCACAAGGGCTTGCCGACTGTATTCGGTGTTGTCTGTGCTAAGGTTCCGGCTTTTGTCGTCTTTCAGCCGTGGGATCCCGGCGGTGGTCGCTGGGTTCTTGTTTTTCTACCAAGATGGGATACTGTGGGTTTCGCCTATTGGGCTTGCTATTTACATCTCTGGGTGTGGCTAATTTGGGACCTCTGGTTTGTTTTTCCATCCTTTTCTGGTCTCAAGGTCCTTGATTTCGGTTCCATGTTGTCTCCTTTTCTCTGCGAGGTCCGTATCGCCGATCCAATTGGTTTCCCGGCTTGGGTAACACAGTACCGGTTTTCTATTTGGGGTTGTGTCGTACCTCGGCTTTTCTCATCGGAAATTTCAGCCGGTTCATTTTTGCCCCTTTTTCCTTTTGATCCGGGTATAGTTATGGTTGTTTTAATTTCCGTTCTGGTGCTTAATTGTCTATTGGGGTGTTTTGGATTCTGCCCTATTTCCTGGACTTCTCTTGTTACTGTACCTCTGCGTGTTTCTGCTCTCTGGGTTTCCTTGCCAGTGTTACGGTTTGGCAGTGAGGGGCCTCCTTATCAACCCATGGCGCTTGCACTACGGCCGGCTATTCTAAGGGGCCTTACACCGGTGGGCGACAGTCTGGTTCTTGGTTTTTATGATGTTTTTTGGGTGTTGCGGTGGTTGGTTGTGACCATAGGTGTCTTCGCTGCTCTGGTTTCGCCGGCGATAATGGCCTTCTCATCTTGGCGTCCGGTGCACAGTTCTTGTCTTATTTCAATGCAGACTACAGTGCATTTGTCAAAGGCAATTGTGAAGTGGTCATTGGTGCTTGTGCGTGACACACCGTATGTGGTGGACAGTTATCAGCCTTAGTTTTCAGCCTCTACCGGCTCATTGGCTGTCTCGTTGGATATGCATATATGTACTTTTGGCATGGTTGTATGTGGTCATGTGTTTCTTTCTGTTTGTATAATATGTTCTATGTTTGCCAGGCCAAAAAAAAAAAAAACTTGAAAATTTTAAATCACTTTTCCAAATATAAATAGTGACAATCAGACAGCTAGCTAATATTTGGCTCTGGTGTTGATATATAGAGCCCAAAATCTCAATCATGCATGTAAATTCTAATCATCTACGTACGTTGATTAAAAAAAACACTCCCTTCATCCTAACTATATATCTATAGTGGAAAATTCCAAAAATATATATATCTATAGTGGAGGAAGATCTTCCCAAAACTCTTCACTCTCTTCCATACTTGTCTCTGTCTCGCTACTCTTCATCTCCAACGAGTTGGGTCTGAGCTCTTCCTTGTTTCTTCCGTACAGCTGTGAGATTTGTCCCTTGTCAATTGCATTGGGATTAAGCTCTTGATTTTCTCGGTTTCGTTCCGAGTTTGATCCCTCTCTATTATAATCTGACAATGGGAAGTTGAGCTTGGCTCTGGCTCCGCGGAACTCAATGGCAGCCTTGTCGTAAGCCCTCGCCGCCGCCTCTCCCGTTTCGAACGTGCCCAGCCACACCCGCTTTGCTCGCCGGGGGTCTCGTATCTCCGAAGCCCACTTCCCCCACGGCCTCCGCCGGACTCCCCTGTACTTCTTCTTACTCTTTTCCTTCTCTTCTTCAATATTTGGCGGGAAAATATTGGTCCCACTTGTGGAACCCTGGAGGGCTTGTAGTAGAGCGGTGGTGGTGGGATCATCACTATCACAGCCATTGATAACGTGCGTGAGAGCGGAGACGATGATCGAGTGTTCTGGGTCTCGGGTCAAAGGAGAGGAAGAGGAGGGCTTTTCTGATCGAATTTTTTCTGGTTTAGGATTCATTTTGAAAAAGATGAAGAAATTTTGCCATCAAAACTCGCAGATGGAATGCAGAGGATTTCAAACTTAATTATATATATATATATATATATACACACACGGACACCCTACCCACACACGTAGAGGGTGTCCAAGTGGCGTCCAGCTGTACCTAGTTGGACGGCGTTTGTTTGCTTGACAATAAATCTTTATCTTTTTTTTTTTTGGGCTGGAAAGTGGCTGGTGCGTTGGTTTCACATGGTCACGTGTGAAACTGGGTTGGTTTGCTGACGTAGGCGGTTGCGATTTGTGACAGACTTGAGGTGATTGGTGTGCCAAAAAGGCATTTTTGTACGAAAAGTCAAGAAGAGTCAAAAAATTTTAACGCCGAGCGTGTCACTGTGTTAATAATGCCTTGTGCATGCGCGCAGAAATGTGGAAAACGGTAATTAATTTGTAAATTTTTGATTGTTTCTCATTTTTTATACTTTGGCAAGAAAATAACCATTAGTATTTTGCTGCGTGTCAACCTGTTAATAATGCCTGGTGAATGCGCTCAGAAATGTGAAAAACGGTAATTAATTTGTAAATTTTTGATTGTTTGTCCTTTTTATACTTTGGCAAGAAAATAACAATTAGTATTTTGCTGCGTGTCACTGTGTTAATAATGCCTTGTGAATGCTGCAGAAACCTGAAAAATGGTAAGTAATTTGTAAATTTTTGCTTGTTTGTCCTTTTTTATACTTTGGCAAGAAAATAACAATTAGTATTTTGCTGCCTCTAAAACTTTGCCATTCCATTGAATAAGACAAGAAAAATACCATTAGTCTACAAACTTTTGGATGAAATGTCTATATTCACTCCATAGGTTGTTTGTTGAGTGCATGTGTATATAAATACTCCTTCTATTTCATAATAGATTGGTATTTTGAAAATTATGACTTACAACTTTATGAGCCACAGTTCTCAAAGTACCCATTTATTATGGGACAGAGGGAGCGTATGGTTTGCAGTCACAGTATAATGGATTTAGGCAAATATCGGTATAAACTGATCGAATTGAACAGTTCATGGAGGTGTGTAATGGTATCGAACCTTTGAAAAAGAATTATAAGCCAGCCAATATAGTGAATCATGTTTTCAACCTAATTACTAGGGGTGTCAAAATTTAACATGACCTGTCAACACAACTCGAACAAGATACGAGTTAAGTGAGTTTGAGTTTATGTTAAATGGGTTCGGGTCGTAAATGAGTCGATACAATTAACCCGTTTAATTAATCGTGTCGTGTTTAGGTTGAGGAGTTCAACCCATTTAAACTATATGTGTTTTAAACATTTTTCTATTTGGGTTCCATGATAACTATCTAAACTTAATTGTGTCTTATAATTTACCATTTTGTGTGAACTAGAGACTATTTAGTAGTAATATGGTTGGATTAAAACTTATATTTTTTTTTAGAAATTATAACAATTAGATTGAGTATTATTAATAATCTAAATAATATAATATCGCACTTTAGTAAATAGGCCGTTAAACGAATTACACATCTAACTTGTTTAATAAATAGGTCAAGTCAATGTTAAGGTTTATACTCTTAGATTTATATGATACGATTATAACTTATGAACACAAATTAATATCCCTAATTACTAAATGACATGAAAGCAAATATGTCAACTTTGTATCACCTTTATTTCCTTTTTCATTTACATACTAGTAAGTAATTAGTGGAGACTAATAATTCTTGAAACAAGCAATAATTTCTCATATATATATATATATATATATATATAGATAGATAGATAGAGAGAGGATGGATAAAGGAAATATAACTATTCAACTTGATTGGGAACTAATAAGTAGTTGTCTGGAGTTGGATTTGTTCATTTTAGGCAAAACTAAATAAAATAAAAATAAATCATGTGCCCACTTTATAATCATTAATGGATTTCTAGTTTGAAATGATAAAAAAAAAAGATTTATTTATTTATTTATTATTATTATTATTTTCTATTCTCATGTTATATATGGTATGAATGTTTGTTTATTTATTTAATGACTTAATTTATTATTATTTATTAATTTATTAAAAATATGAGTAATTTCACAATTTAAAAGTTATAAATAAATTATTATTTGTATTAAATGGTCTTAAAAAATAGAGGAAAAATAAATTCACTAAACAAAAAATTAACTAGGAATAAAAAATTCACTAAAAATTTATATCTGTCATATTAATAGCACTCCAACGGCTTCTGGGTCTTTTTTAGCTATTGGGTCAGTCCAATAGACTCTCCAAAAACTGAGCCCATGTTTTGGGTCGCGGAATGGGTCGCTAAAAACGACAACCCAATTAGTGATTGCAAGCTGCTAAATGCGGGCCCGTGCCATTTTTTGGAATTTTAACTTTTGTGGCCCAGAAATACTGTAGCCTAGTAACATTGTAGCCTAGAATACATTTAAGGGTGTGTTTGCCTGTGAAAAAAATTCCAAAAATCAGTCTTTTTTATCTTTTTTTTTTTTTTTTTTTTCCCCCTCAACATAATTGAACTAAAGATCCATTAAGGCACTGTTTGGCTGACACAAACAGTGCCTTAAAGGCTTTTTTGGGCCAATAAAAATTTTAAAAATTTTCCCTTTTCAAAAATTTCAATGTTCCTATTGACATTATAGTCGTTGTAGGTACTGTTTGGCGACCCAAACAGTGCCTTAATGACTATATTGGCTAACCAAATAATTTTTACTTTTTATTTTTATTTTTTTCGCCTAACAAATTGAAATTTATTTTAAAATATGATTTTTTTTATTAAAAAAAGCGTGTCTTTGTTTTCACCTCTATAAATTAATAAATCAAATGATATTAGATATTGTATTATTTACAATATTTCATACATATTGGCTAAATAATTTAATTAACAAATAATGTAATTATTTATTCCAAAATAAAACATTACATAATAAATATTCCAATATATAAACTTCATAACAATTTAAAAATAAATAAATGCAACATAAATTAAACGTTTTCTTCAACAAAACGATTCTACAAATTTTCAATTAAATCTTTCCTCAACCACATATTTGTCTCTTTGTTACGAATTTAGGCTTGGCGAGAGTAGATGTGTGTTGCTAAAACCGATGGATTTTGAATTAAAGTAGGAATCAAGATTGTCTCCTCTCGTGGTCGAGTTCATCTTCCAACGTTGACATGGCGCTCATCTTCAATGATCATATTGTGAAGGATGATGCACGTTTTTATTACAAGGCACAAGTCCTCTTTATCCCAAAAGCGCACTGGTCCTTGCGTTATTGCTGACTTGATCTGCAAGACCCCAAAAGCTCGTTCAACATCTTTCCTTCAAGCCTCTTGTCTCTGAGTAAAAAGTTTTTCTTTTACTGTAGTTGGGTGCGGGATGGTCTACATCAAACTTTCCCACTTAGGGTATATACCATCAGATATGTAATATCCCATTCTATAGTAATGACCAATCAAAACAGAATTAACCAGAAGAATTTGGCTAGTGACGATAATGTCAAGTACCGAAGAATGATCCAGCACATTAATATCATTATGTGAACCTGGCATTCCAAAGAATGCATGTCAGATCCACAATCTTTTGAGCCGCCCGCCTCCAATATGAGCGTAGGCGTATGAGAGCGTCCTTCGTGCCACGCCACGACACTGGATAATTCTTCTACTCCCAGTGTATACAGTCAATAGAACCAAGCATACTTGAGAATCCTCTCCTCCCCTTATCGAAGTAATCATGCTATGTCAGTTTCGTTGGATGGGCGCATGTACTTTTCCCCATACACACCAACAACAACCTTACAAAATGTAATCAGGGTTTCAATGGCAATGCTCTCGCCGATTTTAATATACTCATCACAATGATCATCTGCACAACCATATGTGAGTATACGTATTGCAATTGTCATCTTCTGTATAGAAGACAACCCCAAACGACCTATTGCATCTCTTTTTTGGATGAAGTAGTCATTATAAGCTTTAACACCATTCAGGATAGGAAGAAATAGTTCTCGTCGCATCCTGAATCGTCTATGAAAGTACTCCGGTGGATATGTGCAATTCTTACCAAAATAATCTTTCATTAGTTAACGGTGGCTTCCCTCTCGATCATAATGAATGTACTGCCTCTTACGCAGTTTAAAGACTTGCTCTATTATCCCTGCGTTCACAGAATTCAAAATCGAACTAAAGGCATCTTGATTATGTTTAATCAACGTGTCAATAGGGTTATCTGATGAAGAGGATTATGAAGAAGATGATGAATTAGAGCCTGATAAAGGAAAAAAGCGTGATGAGGAAGCCATTGGAATTTTGAGATTAAAGGAGATGTGAATTGATATTTTGCTAGAATGATAAAGATGAATGTAATGATGATTAGATGAACAAATGATTGTTTATATAAGATAAAAAATAAAGCACTTATAAAATATAGCCATTAGAAATATAGCCGTCATAGGAAAAAGTTCAGAAAAAAATAATTTATTAAAAATTTAAAAAATATTAATATTTTTGGAGAACGAAAATGCACCATTGGAGTATATGCGATAGCTAAAATTTGGAAATTCTAAAATACTGACGTGGCTATGAGAAATGCTAATGTGGCAAATTTGGAGAACCTAATTTTAAAGAGTTCATTGGAGATGGTGTAATGCGTAGTATTTTAAACTCCATGTGCGACATCAAAAAAGGTAACCACTGCAATAGGCAATCACTAATTCTGTAAACGGAGATTGAAAATCACAACTGTAAACATACAGTATAGGGTAAAGTGCAAAAAAAAAAACCCTGAACTATCAACCAATTGCACAAAACCCTCCTAAATTAAGAAATGCCCCCCCGAATTATCAAAAAAGTGCATTTAAGGACAAAATAAAAAATTGCCCTCACCGAAAATGTTAGATTACAAAATTACCTGTTAATGAAAGGCTACCAAACTCGCCATAATTACACTACTTATTTTAGTGCCAAACACGCCCTTACACGTATGTTGCTCTCTCTCTCTCTACGCTTTCATGTTCTTGGCCACCATCACCACCACCACATAGAGGGGGAAGAGCAATCGTGAAGCCCTTATACAGGTTGAATCCCAGAAGTCGTTGCCTTGCCCCCACCCAACAAGCACGTGATCAATGGGTCGCCGATGCTTTCTATCATCTTGCTCAACACCTAGCTTTCTAGCTTAGGGTTCCAAGCAGAGCTCATTCGAATCTCTGCCATATTCAATGTTATGTAAAAAGAGTATTTTATCGGTAAACTGGTATAAAGAGGTGGTGGAGTTGCCTGTGCTGAACTAAGAAAGCCTCGGCAAAGATGGAAAGAGCTTAGAAGCCTTAGATTGTGTACGTGTGAGTTGTAACTTACCGTGCTCGTCCCTCCACTAAGAAGGAAAGGTGCAGAGGTCTAAACCCATCTCGTTATCAAGTTAAAGCCTTTGCTCGGTTCAGAAGCTTTGCTTTCCTTATCTGCACATCTGACAACTTCACCAAAACCTAGGAGAAATGGAAAAATAGTTGATGATGAGGGAATCGGAGATTGATAGTTATTTACAGGAAAGAGTAACGGATTTCAAACCTTTTTCTTCCCCCAAAACAAAAATATGTTTTGGTTGCAAAGATCTAGAATTAGAGGGGGAATTGATTGAAAGAATTAACACAAATATTTGGGCAGTTACAATTGGGTTGGGTTAGTGATCGCGACAACCGATTTTTTGGGGCTTTTGTGATTGAATTTGTAACTTTTATGATTGATTATCAACGATCATGATCCCACCCACAGTGATGTTTTTGGTTGAGAGTGGGAGTGTTAATGCTTGTTGCAACTTAATTTTTTTTCTCATCTTCTTCAATTTCTTGTTGGAGTTGGAGGTGGATTAGAGAGAGATACAGGTGGATTGTAGAAATGATGGTAGAGGTGGTTGGTTGGGGAAGAACAAAAATTAGGGTTTGTGACGGTGGAGAGAGAGATGGCGATTTGGTGTTGAATTTTTTGTTCAGCGGTGGAATCTCAAAAATAAGGCGGTGGAATCTCGAAAATAAGGCAGTGAAGGTAAAAGCGGGGGAGTTCGTTGACGGGGTCATCATCTCGGGTTGGGTGCATGTCGCTTCAGGTGGCCGTGGTCGGTGTGTTTCGGGCGATGTAGCTCTTCAGGTGGGGGTTGAAGTTCGGGCCGATCCTTTTGCCTTTCCATTCTACAAAAAGCATCTTAAAATGAAGTAAACGACCAAACACAAGGTCAGAGCTGCAAGGACGACGATATATACACCGCAGCATATATATTTGTATATAAGGATAGGATTGTCATTTTTAATTTACAACATATAGTCACGGCCAAAATTCAAAGGCACAGTGTCACCTGGGTTATTTTTTGGAAAAATAGGAATAATTTAGGGGGTTTTTTGTTAAAAAAAGTTCAGGGGAGTTTCACTACAATAGTTATGGCTTTCACCAGCGCTCAAAAATGCTGGTGAAGATCTAAAAAACACGCTGGTAATTCAATTACCAGCGCTTTTAAAAAAGCGCTGGTGATTCCAGCGTCGGTAGACCTTTACCAACACTTTTTCAAAAGCGCTGGTATAGACCCTTTATCAGTGCTTCTTAAAAAAGTGCTGGTGAAGGGTCATTTTATGTTTTTTTTTTCCCCTTTATTGTTTTTGGAAAAATATCTTTACAGCTGCTAAATGTCATTCAATATAACACAAGTTGACAATGTGAAAAATATAATCGAAATTGTCTACTAATAGATAAACCTGGTAAATATCAACCAAAACCTAAAAAATGTCAACCAAAAAGCCAAAATGTCTACTAATACAACCACAAGTTAACTTGCCAATATGAAAATACCATCCAAATTGTCTGTATCTACTAAATGTCACACAAAAAGAATAAAGAATTTTTGACAAAAATACCATCCAAGGCAAAGGAAATGCATAAAGCACAGCCACAATCCTGTCTTCAACTTCAACTTCAACTTCAACTTTAACTTCAACTTCAACTTCAACAACTCTTCTTGGCCATTTGATCTGAATTACTCTACATTTTTTATAAATTCATTAAGCGCACACTATAATAAATGAAAATTTAACATATAAGAAAAATTAAAGTTCATAACCTTAACTGAATTAACATCATGACTAGAAAGTGAATTTGGGGATACTCTAGGAGCATTTAAAGAATCAAAACCCTTCAAAATTACAAAACAAAATCTTGGCATAAGTAACGTATATTCAGTAAAGAGTAAAACTAATAATAAATATACTTGTCCACTACAATTTTGTTGTTGCATCTGCATTAATATAGCCACCTGTTGTTGTAAATTTTCCAACTTGTCGTCATAGTTGGCTCGTAAATTTTCCAACTTGTCGTCATAGTCAGCTTACATTTTTGAAATGGTCTCTTGCAACTCTACACGGCACATGCCTCCTCATCAGATTTTTTGGAATTATTAATCATTTCAGCTTTACTAGGAGAAGGCCCCCAAACATCGCTTGGTGTAGGCCCCAAGCCAAGCATCCGCACACAACCAGTTCTCTCATCCCCTCACAACGAAGAATAAATCATCGGAACTGCCAATAGGCGAGTCAGAGTAACTTTTTTGAAGACATTTTATGCTTTCCTCAAGAAGAAAAATAAAATAAAATAAAATAAAAATTGTTAACCACAAAGCAGATCCATACTTGAGTCAAAGAAAACTAATGACTTAAAATAGGAAAAAGAGAGATACAGTTGTAGATTTTAGAGAATTGCAAATTAACTTGGACTGCTTAGTAAAAAGTTACTGATTAAAGTGGTTAGCAATTGGAATATTCACAAATAATTTTCTCCATACCTTCACTTGTATCAATTCTATCACCAGTTCATAAATTGACATGTTAAGAATTCCTATTTAAAAATAGAGGGACTAAATGATTGAAGTTCGTATGGTTAGTTGATATTGTTATAAGAAGTAAAATAATTTACTGGTAATAGAATTAAATGACAAAATTAATTCTTTCCTTATAAATAAATAAAAATAAAAAAATGATCTTCTTCTAATTTTGATTAATTTAACAATATCAACTAACCATACAAATTGGTAATATGTCCAACAACCCACATTTTTCCCATGACGTTAAACCCAAAACCAAGACGAGAAAACAAAGAAGACACAACGGGGAAACAAGCTCCCAAATCTCGACAGAAGCAAGAGAACCTCTGCAAATGGAGTAGTTTTTTCTCAGTTCAACAATGGAGTAGTTTTTCCCTTGTGTGATTGAGTCTAAAATTGGAATCATCAACTATTTTTACTCAGTTCGACGATGGAGTAGTTTTTTTTCCATCTGTGATTGAGTCTAAAATTGGAATCATCAACTGTCCTGTTAAAGGGAAAATATGTCTTTATATGTCCTCAATCAATCATCATGTTTATAGCACTAAATTGTCACAATCTTGAGAAAGTCTACAATATCCAAAGTATAATTGTCACAATCTTGAGAAAGTCTACAATATCCAAAGGATCTTACCTCCAAGATCATTGCTAATGAGACAAAAGATTGTGAAAGTCTACAATACCCAAAGTATCTTACGTCCAAGATCATTGCTAATGAGACAAAAATAAATTCACTTATATTACGTCTAGGAGTATCAAATTTGCAGATATTGAAACAACATTAGATTAAAATTTGAGACACTAAAGTTAAAAATTAATAGTCATTGAGTATTATATCTACATTAATGAAAGTTTAGCTTAATACATAAAATAGAAAATACATATATTTTTAAAAATATATTTAACATTTTTGTAAGTAGTGTATATTTTTTATTACTAACTCTCGGCAAAGGCAAAAGGAAACATTTTTGCCATGCCAAGCATCCTTCGCTGATGATCCCGTATCATCTCCAGAATCTGACACCACCAAGTTCTGGGACCAACTGCAGCATTTGCTATAAGGATATTATGGTAGACCAGGGCTGGCATTGTGAGATATATCCAAAGTTTGATGTTTGTGCTGCATGCTATCAAACAAAAACTGGTGTGTGTCATATTTAGTAATTTACCAGCGTGTCTTATATTCAGAAGTCATCTTCCACTTCTAATTTTGAGTCAAACAATGGACAGGCTCAGCGGCAGCAAGTGAAGGTATGGAGAAAATCTCTTACGAGCTTAATTATAATATTTAGAGCTCACGTGTCCAAGATCTGATCCCTTTCAAATGCACAGAGTCTATTCATTGTCATGTTTATCTTCTGACACATGGAGTCATTACTTCAAAATTTTATGATAGAAAAAATAGAATTAAGTAAAACAAATTTCAAAGAAACACTACTGAATCACATTTTTCTTGTACTGAATCACAATTTTTGGTTCGAATGAGTTCATTGATTGGTTGTGTGCCTGCAGATACAGATCTCATTTGTTAAAATGTGCCGGTTATCGTGAACTTTACCTTGTTTGGGAGATTTAAAAGAAATATAGGCTTCTTGCATTTTCTAGTTTCTGATTAAGTTGTTAGTCTTGAATTCATTTTCAGTAGTATTACTGTATAAATGAACAAGTAAAAACTATAATAATGAACATTTACAGATATAGGGTTCTGATGATGATACTTTACTGTTGGCCATGTTGTCAGAAAGTCACTAGCATGTCTAGTGGATTACATATATAAAACAATGATGATGTGGTGGCCCAGGGCTGGTCTCTATAACTCGATGCTAAATTTGGTATTTGGTATTTCTTTTAAAAGTAAAACCATGTAAAACGAAATAACACTTGAGAGAGCATTGATGGGTGGGTATGTACGGCCTACTCTATATACTCATCTATCTTTATTGTTCTATCAAATTAGTTTTTAGTCACTAGACGACCATGCATGCAAATTAACACAAACAATAAATACTTCTCTTTCACGACACAAATCAATCAACAAGAAGCCTTCACATACGATGCAATACTCTCATGCTTTTCAACAAATACAAGAAAGTAAATTGCCTCCACACGGGCCGATGATAAACAATGAAATTAAAATGTTTCCACACGGGCCGATGATTTAAAAATTAGTCACTTCAAGGCATGTGACCCCCTAATACACCGCAAAGAGTTTAAAAATTCGTCACTTCAAGGCACGTGACCCCCTTTTATCTCTAAAGTAGCAACATCAGTAGCATTGACATCCTTATTTATATGTGTGCGAATGAATTAATCTGCACAAGAAAGTTAAATAACTTCTTTTTCCTTAATCTATAAAAGAAATATAGACATTGTGATATATACTATTTACCACTAACATTTATAATCATTCAACGACATAAAAATTGAAATAATTTATATTGCCAAAACTTCAACTAATCTCGATAGAAACACGTGCAAAGTTTTTTTGTCCCTCCTACAAAAAGTGAGAAAAAGTAAACGTTCTTTGAATAAAGAACATTCCACCTAAAATAATGACTGAAAGTAGGTAAACTATAAATTCAACTCATTGACTTTAAACAAAATTGATAAATGGAGAATTACCTTCGCCATAGGCGTACTCCAATGCCTAACCAAAAATTCCCAATGCTCCTTCTCAACATCAGATGGTGGGTTTGCCAATCTTTCTGCATCTGTATCCCGAACTGAGTAGTATTCACTTTTTAATTCACATTTGTACCCCCTCCATTTTGTTCCGATGGAGGATAATGTCCACTGTTTTGACATGATTCCCACATCATACTTTCCCTGAAAATGTGATAATTGCGGCATGTTAATCCACTTTTTCCATCAAAATTATTTTAATGTTATTGAAGGGTTTTACCTTTACAATGTTCCACATATCCTCTTTAAGTCGTTTAGGCATCTCCCACCAAGTTTTGTAGCACAAAGGAGCTAAATCTAGCACTCCGGGCAAGTGTTCCCAAATAATTAGTACATGTACCACTTTCACGGCCGATCGGCTGTCCATACTAATTAACCCTAAACAAAAATTAACAATTGTAGATGTTTAGTACAAAAATAAAGATAGAAATCCTTTTTCCACTTTCATATTGAATATAGTTTAATTATGTAAACTATATAAAATGACCTCTATATATATGTACCTTAATGGTATTAAGGTTGTCGCGTTTACGACATTCTTGCAACGTGTCGGGCCCCGTCTCTTCTTCGACGGTGGTTGGGATGATTTTGAAATTGAAGCTTCGGTATTTTCTTCACTCACTTTTTCCACTTCACTAACCATTTGTTTCATTGTCAGCTTATTATTTATCCTTCCGGGAAAAGCAAACAAAAAAGTGAGAATTCATTTAAGAGAATGCAATCAAGTTGTTAAAAAAAGGCGGTGCACAATCCAGGTAATACCAATAAAAAGAAATAACAAATACCTCAAAACTTTAGGGAGTTTTTGGTTGTCCAATGAAAATTATATAAAACCATTATGTTTTGGTAATGTAATACTGAGACATGGTTGTTATGACCAATAAAAACTCAAACTAGATCATTTAGTAAAATCCTTGATTGCACTTATACAATAATGTGCCAAAAATAGATCAAAACATATTAAAAATATATAAGCACACAAAAAAACTAAATCAATTTTCATGGGAAGTATACATGTGCATGCTACAAAATATGATACTGAAGATGAAATATTACATGTGCATGCTACAAAATATGATTTTATGTCTTTTTTCATCTATTTTATGTCTTTTTTATTTTGACTGTGTATTATATATATATATATATATATATATATATATATATATAAAATATAATATAATATAATCTTTAAGTGTGTGTTTTTATATATGGGTTTTTTCGATGTTGTGTTTGGTAGGGTAGTATGGAATTGGTGCTTTAAAATTATATTGAACTAATTTTTTTCTAATTTTAATTCTAAGACGTCAATTCCATGCTATGGAACATAGTAGAAGTTCCGGCAGAGTGTCATTAGGGAGATAAGTTCAGGAAATTGAGTTTTTGTTTATATATATAGACTTGTAACATTCGTATCATTTGGTAATTACCTAGTATATGTAGTTATATAACTCAACTCAACTTGGAATATGTATTATCCTGTTTTGTCATGGTGGTCTACATAATTCAAATTTCTGTATGTTTGTATGTATAATATTGGTTTTTTTTTTTATTATTATTTTTTCTTTCTTTGATTTTATTCAAACTGCCATTTTGCAATTATAAGTACTGTCATGGCAAAATATGACTGCTATATTGAAATTTATTGACTGCCATTTTGCTGTATAATATTGGTATTTTCCTGGTTTTTTTGGGGGGCTGGGGATTTCCACTAGGTGAGGATCTATAAAAGAAACTGTTGGATATAGGACTAGCAAATTAATAGTTTCTTCTTCTTATATACTTTTATTGTTTTTTTCTGTAGAAGTATCAAGATCAACAAGAGATGTACCACCAGCTCATTACACATTTAAGATCGAGTCATTCTCACAACTCTTGCAGACACTACTAGAAACTGGAGTAGAGAACTATGAATAGAACACTTTTGAAGCTAGCGGCTACAAATGGTTGAGTTTGCATTCTAGTATTTTCAAATTTTCCTTTGGTATTCTATATATATATGTGTGTGTATAAACTGATGGTCTTTTGTTTTCAAGGAAATCGTCTCTCTACCCATCTGGTGATAAAGAAAGAAATGGGAAAGGACACATCTCTCTGTACTTGGTAATTGCAGAAACAAATGCTTTGCCTATTGGTTGGGCGGTTAATGTGAACTTCAAATTGTTTGTGTTAGATCAGATTCAAGACAAGTACATGACCATCCAAGATTGCTCAAGCATTCCACCATTTTCTTAGAGATTTCATGTGAAATTTGGACCAAACAACATTGCTAGATTAACGTGTTTATATAGCAAAGAAATGTAAAGAAGAGCAAAGCAATATGTAATTGAAAGTTTCAAATAGGATACTATTTCATTGCATCAAAAAAAATAATAATAAATAAATTAAATTAAATTAATATAAGATCAAACATACTCGTATATAGAGGCTTTAGAGAGAACGTTTTGGGAGGAAAATCTAGTGAGTAAGATCTCAAAATGACATAAATTAACAGCTCTTGGAGATCGAGTAGCTGGTTAGAGATCGAGACAGAGGAATAAAGAGAAAACAATAAAATATTGAAAGAAAGAAAAGGATATAACAAATCAAATTACATACCTCTCCTAATCACAATATAACTCCTCCTAAACAAAACTAAACCTTGTACTTGAAACTCTCTGAAACTAAAACCGAAACTCTCTGAAACTAAAACCTACAGTATTATCTCAATCACTACCTAGACAACTCCAAAAAATAAGGGCCGATAATAATAAATTTCATAGTGCTCAAAGAAGACCAATAAGCAACTCCAAATCCAAAAAATTTAGACCAACAATAACCTCTTGCAGAAAACCCTTTTCATATCATAAACTAGATTTAAAATGTTATGCATACAATGTTTCACCAAGTGAAATCAATGATTTTTTCCTATACTACTAATAGTAATTGAAAAAAGCTTATATCCCAATAATTGGAACATCTCATGCAGGCAAGCATTCATTCAGTTATAGATCAAAGCCATGACCTAAATTGCAAGAATAAAGGCACTTTGAAACAAGGGGAAAAAAAAAAAAAAAAAAAAAAAAAAAAAAAAAAAAGGCACAATAACTCAGGTTATAGCAGAGCACACAAAGAAACACAACAACAAATCTCTGCATATAGCAGAGCCCATGTACAAAAAATAAACAAGTACCAAGAGGAACTCAACTTACAATACTCGATCCATTTCTTGCCCATGACTATTTTTTTAAATACCATAATTGATTTCCAGGAAAAACTTTTCATACAAAAGACTTTATATGTATTTCCATGAAATCGAACCATAATAATTTTTAATATATACATATAGAGAGTGAAGGGGCAGAAAATTCCCCAACCATCACAAGCAAAAAAGTTACCTGAGAGTTATGGAGATCGAGCAAAGGCGAGACGGCTTGAAGAGAACCCTAGGGCTTCAACTTTGTAATCCCAGATGAAATACTCAAAGAGAGACGGGTTAGCCTTGCAGCTGAGAAGCGGCCTGATCAATCAAGGTCTTCAGCTTAGAAATGGAAATAATCTTGAACAATCATATGTTTACTACTGAGATGAAAATTTTATAAACCCTAATTTGATGAACCACAATAAAATTCAATTGTCTGAGAATCCAACAGATTGAATTTTGTAAAACTAAAACAGACTCATCCTCGTGTGAAACTAAAACAGACCCCTCATTCTATAGGGTCTGCTGAATCAAAAACAAGCATGACTAAAATGAATGATCAGTGAGAAATAAAACAACAAAACCACGAAGAAATTAAAATGAAACAAAGAGGAACCTGAGAGAGGCTTTAGCGAGAATGTTTTGGAAGGAAAATCTAGTGAGTAAGATCTCGAAATGACATAAATTAACAGCTCTTGGAGATCGAGTAGCTGGTTAGAGATCGAGACAGCGGAGAGACAGCCTGAAGAGAAACCTAGGGCTTCAACTTTGTAATCTCAAATGAGATAATGCCGAAAGAGAGACGGGTTAGCAAACATCAATCAAGGGCTTCAGCTGAGAAATGGAGATCGAGCAGTGAGAGATCGAGACAGAGTAGAGGAGTGTTGCAGCTGAGATGGAGATCGAGCAGTGAGAGATCGAGATAGAGTGGGTTCGCAAACATCAATCAAGGACTTTAGCTGAGAAATGGAGATCGAGCAGTGAGAGATCGAGATAGAGTGAGGTATCGGACGCTAGCCTTAATACAACAAAAGTGACCGAGCGTTTCGGATTGTCAACGAGAAGTCAGATGCTAAGCAACACGCATCCAGGGACGTAGAATAAAGACTTCAAAAAGGAGGGAGAGGGCGGACTCGTGGATGTTTGAGTCAGCGTCACCAGACCATAAGGTGAACCAGTCGTTTCGGTCACATGCCTAGCTCTTCTTCGTTTCGCTTATGATCAGGAGATCAAGGTGAGTCAACTGCAGCTTAGCCTTCTTAGACTTCCCGGCTGTACATACAGCAGTCACTCACATTCCGTTAGAAGAGGATCGTTAAGACCTCTGACATAGGTTCAAGCAAGATAGGGAATTAAGAAGTTCGACTGTTGTTTCGAATCCTGCTCTTGATACCTCGTTTTTGTTAAAGAGCTGCGAGTCATTTACATAGCATTTTTAGATTTCTTTTTCCGTAAGCGCTACGAGTGAAATGAAACTCATAATGTTCACTCGTTTTTGAAAGAGATTGTGGACTTCGTTCCAGGTGCTTGATTTTGGCTTAGTATCCAATTAATTACGTGAAGGCTGGCTTGCTGTGTCTTATCGGTTAATCTGTCTCCGCAGCGGTGAAATCTGCCCCACATTTCTTTCTTTAGTTCCACAACCCCGCATCATGTAAAAGAAGAATGGAAGGAGAACTTCAACACGCTGAAGCCGATTCAAAAGAAGATTCTAGGTGCGTATAAGCTTCGAAAGAAGCAGAATGATTTCTTGCAGATTACATCATGCGTCCGTTTCTTAATTCACTTTGACAAAGGAACCCATCTGAACCTTAAGTAGTAGTTTTACTTGTATCTTCTCTCGCTAAGGGAACAACCAGCTAAATTCGATTCGTTGGCTATGGCGCTATAACGTTCTAGTCCTTTCTAAGGGTCCTGCGTTTGCTCTGGATGGATCTCTTTCTTGCTTCTTGGCACCTTGGAAGTTGAGATTCAAACATTTTGAACTAGCTGACCACTAGCCCTCTCTATCGGAAAAGAGCGTGTGAGCGTGCTGGCTCTATGCCCTAACTCACGCAACTCTGATCAAGAATCAAATTCACAGCTAGCTGGATAATGACTTAAGAAAGATGAAAACTCAAAACCATAAGCCAACTCTCTGCCCTAAAGTCAAAAGCTAACCAAAGAGGTTGCATTTCACAAATAACTAAGAGCCAGTAGTGCACGAGTAAGATTCCCATTGAAAGTGAATGGTCTCAGAAGCAGATGATGCGAACCTACCTATTGGCCTTTAAGAGGAGCTGTTACCGCTAGCTGTATTTGGAATGAAAGTATGACCACGCACTTCCTATGACATAGCGCTATGGGTGAATTTGCTGTGAATCATTAGTCTGTGGACCTGGAATTGAATTAGAGACTCAGGAAGTGAAGGAAGAAGATTCTACTACGACATTCCCTTACTACCTATTAGCAGGCTGTAAGCTCCGAAGCTTTCACCAGATGATGCAAGATAAGGGTAGGCTTGCGTCTTTGTACATGTCTGGTAGCTCTGGCTGGCACACTTTCTCTTTCGGGCGAGTCCTCGATACCATGCCTAGAGCCTCCAAATCTTTCTTCAATCTAAGAGAATGTTTGCGACTGTCACCCTTGTAAGAGTAGGAAATCCAACACCAATAACAGCTCCGATGGTTGTTCTGATGCCATAAGACTAATTGCGTGTGTTGGTGGATCCAATCACAGCCAAGCAAAAGCAAAGCACCTCCCTTTTTTGTGGATGACCAAACCATGAAGAAAAGGGGGCAACCAGCCTCTCACTGCCCTCAACGCTTGCTTTTAGAAATACAAAACTAGCCTGCTTGAAGTCAATATTCTTTGATCATTTTCTTTTCTTTGTCTGCACGGTCCTTTTCTCATATGGTTAAAACTCAATGCACTGACTTTCGTTTTAGTAAGGAGGCATCTTCGGCGGGGAGACATTTTCCGTTTGGTCGAAACCAAAATGCAGTCAATTCAAAAAGCCATTTTGGCGCGAGAATGCTTGCTTTGTAGCCCATTATCTTCCTGCGGCTGACCATGAATCATACGGATTGCTACTCGATAGCTGTGGTGGCGAAAGAAATAAGTGAAATGGGTCAAGCTCGGCTTTTTTCCGATATTCGAATTTGGTGATGATTTTCTTAGTGAATTTGCTTCTGATGTTCCCTCGAAAAAGAGAATTTTGAGAAGAGCTTTTCACCCAAAGAATTGACTCTTGCTCTTTCTTTAGGCAATCTTGATTGAGATCGGGGAATAATGCCTGATCTTTTCTTTCATTCTTTTGTTCGAATGAGCGTGCTCTTTTCTCATCGGTTGCCTGAAGTGATCATGATGTGGTTCTAGAAGAAGAATAATTTTGTTACAAGTATTGTCTTAATATAGATCTTTTGAGAATCCATGCCCTAAATGAAAGAGAAAAAGCTCCATAAATTAGCCTGAGAAAGCGCCTCTGTGAACCAACCTTGTATTGTATGTGACTCTCCTCTTGTTTGTAACTTGTGTCCAGTGTTCGCTATCAAGTCCTCTGTCCTGTTTGTCTCTAACAACAATTAGCTTCCTTCTACCACACATTCATAAGCTATGAATTCTTTGCCTTCAACCACTAGTCTTTGCGTGTGAATCTTGTTGTTTCTTTATCCGTAGGTCCCTGTACACATTCATTCACTAATAAGCCTTTTCATTCCCTTGTTAATCGTTGTAAACCATCAGTCACATAGTTCAAGGAGCAAGTAGTCATTTGTTTCGCTTCCTCATCATCTATCTGCCAAAGCTTGTTCATGGGTCCCTGATGATATGGTTTCTTAAGTGAATTCTCAACATCTTTTCTCTCTCCTTTGCTTCTCACAATGTTTGGTCTTCTTTCGAGTAGCTAGCTCAGTGAAATTAGAATTCAAAAGCCAAAAGTTGGGGTATATGGGCTTTTAAGTTGGACATGGCCAAGGCCTACGTACTGTATGGAATTGTGTTATCTTGAGAAAGCCATTACAAGGTTGGGTTTCGCTGGTCAGTGGATCCGAATGGTAATGGAGTGTATTCGAACGGTGTCTTACTCAGTTGTTTTGAATGGTTCACCGGTCCAGCTCTTTTTTCCTAAATACAATAGTGTTGAGGCAGGTCTATACGAGCCTACCTCTTCCTACTTTGTGTAGAAGGTTTGTCGAAGTTTATACATAAGCAGCCACAGATGGTCGGATTACTGGTGTTCAAGTGGGCAAACATGCACCAAACATCTCACATATTCTCTTTGCGTACGACTCATTATGAGATTTTGCAGAGCGTCATGTAGTGAGTTGCTTCAGTTGAAACGAATTTGAACAGTTTACCATTGACAGGCTCCGTAGTGAATTTCAAAAGTCTGCTCTCATTTTTAGTGGACGTTTCAAGTGCAGAGAAGGTGCAGCTTGGGAGAACTTTTGGGGTCAGAGTGACTGGTAAGTTCGACCCCGTGGTAATGAATGGGTATTGAGAAGCTTGCCTTTGTCCAAGGTTTGCTAGATTTGGTAAGCTTTTCTGTGCCATTCCCTTGGGCTTTCTTCTTCTCCAGAGACATAGCTTCTTGCCTCGCGGCTTTTTGTATCTTCCTCCTACCTATCTGCTTTCTTGCCTTTTACAATTAGATTCTCGTTATTAACATTTTAGCAACCTGCTTGCACCACAAGAAGTTTACTAGAGCCATGCTCAGATATTGGAAAGATATATAACGTTTCAACAGTCAGTCTATCCGCCAAAACTGATTGAGATTTTTAGGTGCCATGATGAACATTAGTCTTTTTTAAGACTAGGCGATTATGGAAAAAGCCCCCTATCGTATAAACCTAGTACGCCCTGCCTTAACCTACTGTGGTGGATGAAAGAGGAGGTTCAATAAATGAGTAAGTGGCTGGGGGAGGGGAGAACGAATGGCTCAGGAATCCACCGGTTCCGAGCAGACTTGTGGAGCTGCAGCTTAGATTATCGTATCTTAAGAGGATCCGTCTGACTTAGGAAATAACTGAACTTCAAATACAGATGCTGCCGTTGCGAAGGAGCAACTTGTCTGGTCTTGCGGTGCACTCATTCCCTTTACGAGAATGAAATAATGCCCCACCCCAGCTTGACTCGAGACCAAGACTCCTTAGAACTCGCACCAATAGCGCGAGCAGCAGGAGATTGATTTCAAAGGCAGCCCAGCCGCCCCTCTCCCACCTAGCCGCCTACCTACTCGTGCTCCTAGCCCGACCTCCGGTCGAGACTGTGTTCCGGCGGAATAACGGAAGTCGTCCGTATCAAGTGATATGTGAATTGCTCAGTAGTGCTTCGCCACTACCGTCGCTGGCAGAAATAGCTTAATGGTAGAGCATAGCCTTGCCAATGCTGAGGTTGAGGGTTCAAGTCCCTCCTTCTGCTCCTGGCTTCGTCGGTTAGTGGTAACCAGTGCCCTTCAAAAGGATAAGCCAAAACGTACTCCTAACAAGTTGCTGGCTTTTCATCAGCCATTGTGCGCTAGATAGCTTCTTTTTTTCAGCAGGCTTCTGAAAATATCCCAACAAAAAGAAAGTAGGGGCTATAACTAGTTGTAGCACGCAGTGTAGTAGTGAATAGGAAAAAAGAATGGAGATGGCTAATAGCGTATGGAGGTTGAGGATAAAACATATTCGGTGCCCCACCCTTGTCTACATCGCCGGAGACTGAAAATGGTGGGAATCCTATCGAAAAAGAAGAGGCATAGACATCGCCTCTCGATCCAATCCGCCTTTCCTTGGCCCCCCAACACACTCTTGATATGAAATAAACCCCCTGCCATAAAGAATTAATCTCCAGTCTGGGTCCCCTCGATCACCTTCCCTTGAACTTGACCTGGTCGAGAGAGACCGCACCACTTTTTTTCTAACCTTTGAATCGAAACCCCAGCTAGAGATGGAATTACAGAACCAAAACCACTCAGTTGAAAGCTCCGTGACCGATTCAAGGGAAGGCCCACCAATAATGGAGAGGCCATTTCTCCCCTATCCGTCTCTTTCTCCCTCATTCCATTAATCCATTCTTACTGATTCATTTAAGGTATATACTCCACTATTTCTTTTGTTTTATTAGCGCGCAGGTCTTCGTCAACGATGAAAGCCGCTGAACTTCAGACTCGAGTTGATAAAGAGGGCTAGTAGGCTCCCGGGAGGGCTTTCAGGGACTGGGTAAGGCAGTTCAAAGGCATTCTTCTTAATCCGAGTTTGATGAGATGGGGTAAGACCCAGACGTAGAGTCCCCCGTCGGCCGGGAAGGGGTTCTTCTCTCTTCCCCCGAGGTAAAGCCCTTTCCAGTGGAGAGTCGTGCATCTCTGTCTTTCAAGCCTGCCCTAAAGATAGGAGTTCCTATCTCTACTACCTATCCAACTCGTGAAGTTCAATGTCGAGTAGGATCCGATCCCACCCCAGCAGTTAAACTCCTTCCTGACCCGGAACACCTGACCCTGAAGCTGGAATGCCTTTCTAGAGGAGCCGAGGGATCTAAAAGTGTGTAGTGGGATGC